CTTCCCTCCCTCCCTCCCTCCCTTCCTTCCTTCCTTTCTTTCTTTTTTTAAATTCATATGTGTTATGCATGTGTCTTATTGCTGTGAAGAGATGCTATGACCATGGCAGTTCTTATAAAGGAAAACATTTAACTGGGGCTGGTTAGTCTATTATTGTCATGGCAGGAAGCTTGGAAACATCCAGGCAGACATGGTGCTGGAGAGGTAGCTGAGAGTTCTATATCTGGATCTTTAGGCAGCAGGAAGGGAGAGAGACAATAGGCCTATCTTGAACATATGACACCCCCAGTGACACATAAAGGCACACCTACTCCAACAAGGCTACATCTCCTAATAGTGCCAGTTTCTATGAGCTTATGGGGGCCATTTTCAGTCAAAGCACCATATTCTACTCCCTGCTTGCCCCCCCCCAATATACTGGTAGTCATATCAAAATGCAAAAACACATTCAGTCCAACTTTAAAACTTTCCATCTATCACAGTCTATCACAGTCTCAACACTGTTTAAAAGTCCAAAGTTTAAAGTCTCTTTGAGACTCATGGCAATCTCTTAGTCGTAAACCCTGTAAAATCAAAATACAAAAGCTGATCACATACTTCCAACATACAATGGTACAGGATGTACATTACCATTCTAAAAAGAAGGAAAGGGAGCATAGTGAGGAAATATTGGACAAAAGTGAGGCTAAAAACCAGGTGGCAAATTCCAATCTCTGTGTCTTCGTGACTGAATTCAAAGTGCTTTTCTAATTTAATCTAAAGGAGTTGGAAACTCCTTTCAGCTTTGTTAACTTCAACACACTTCTCTCTCTCCTGGGCCACTTCCATACATGAAAGCTTTCCTTAGCAGATATCCCATAGCTCTAGCATCTCCAATATCTTGGGGTCTCCAAGGCAATCCAGGCTTCACCTTTACAGCTTCATGCAGTGGCCTCTTTAGGCGTCCATTCAGGGACGCCTGAATATGCCTGGACTCAATGGCTTTCCTTAGTTGTGGAGGGAGATTCTATAACCTCTTTCTTGTATCCTTGATTCTCAGTCCAGAATCATGTGGACAAAGCTGCCAAGTTCTGGTGCTTGCTGGGGCTGGAACATGGCCCTCTTGTTCAAATATATTTCTACCATCTTTCTGTTTTTAATAGTTTCCTTCACTGTCTAAGCTCAGCTGTCCTGGAACTCTCTCTGTAAACAGGGCTGGCATCCAGTTTAGAGATCTGCATGCCTCTGCCTTCTGAGTACTAGAATTAAGGCATGTGTCACCACACTAGCCCTAAACTTTTCTTTAATTCCTTTTCACAAATTGGAAGTTTAACTGGGTGTCTTACCCTGAGGTCCCCACTCCCTTTATTCCATTTAGGTTCTGTCTTTTCTTTAAACTTTTCCTGATGTTCTTTTTCTCCTCAAATTGTAAATTTTGTATTTTTTCTTGCTCAGCTGGCTCATTTTCATTATAGATTAGCATAAAACTGGCCACTAACAACCACAGAACACAGTCAATACTAAGCTCTTTTAAAATCTCTTCGGCCAAAGCTGTTAATCCGAAACTTTTCAATTTAGCCTCATGCAGATTGTTGTTGGACAACAGCATTAAGCAGCCACATTCTTTGCCAGAATGTCACAAGAATGGTCTTTAGGCCACATGCTAATATTCTCAGAAACTTTTTGAGTTGAGCCCCCACAGTTCAAATCACCCACAGCACTGCTGTCTTCCATGCTTCTCTTACTATGGCCCATTAAGCCCAGCTAAAAGTTTTCCTAATCCAAAGTCCCCCAAAACACATTCCTCCAAACAAAAGCGTGGTTGGGCCAATCACAGCAATACTTTATTCCCTGGTATCAATTTCTGTCTTAGTCAGTGTCCTGTTGTTGGGAAGCGACACCATGATCACAGCAACTTTTATAATGAAAAGCATTTAATTGGGGCTGGCTTACAGTTCAGGGGTTTAGTCCTTTATCATGATTGTGAGAACCATGACTGCACACAGGTAGACAGGGTCCTGGAGAGGTAGCTGAGAGTTCTACATCTATATCAGCAGTCATCAGGAAGAGAGAGACTGTGTGTGTGTGTGTGTGTGTGTGTGTGTGTGTGTGTGTGTGTGTGTGTGTGTGTGTGTGTGTAAATGTTGAGGTGAAATATCATGGGCTTTCTACTCTATCCCTTTCAACCTTTCTCTTTTTTTACTCCATCATTGCCATTTTGTCCTCGTCTAAGGCTCATTTATTCTGGTCCAAGCTGGTTAATCCTTGTCCATTCTCATCTGTTTCTATCTTTTTTAGATCTACCACAGTGGGGGGCTATGCAGACAATTCCCAATTTTTAGGTTCTCAGCACCAGTTTCAGCAGGTTATGTTGTGACCTGACCAAACTCCTCTCCTTTAGGTGTGTTCTTCATTCTTCTTCAGCTACTTTTCATGGTCCTTTTTATTAGGAACACAAGAGCTGTTTGCCATGTTGACCACACATGGCTCAATTAACATTTTTCTTTCCTTAATCAATGGTCCATATAAATTTCTTGGGGATCATGTTCTTCAGTTGGTCACTCATGACACTGTATTTTTTGATATCAGCCTATGACCTAGTTTTGATATTTTATTTATAATAGATTCTAGCTAGGAGAGAGAGAGAGACAGAGACAGAGAGATAGAGAGAGATTCCTTGTAGACCTCATCATTTATTTCAGTATCTCATTTTTGAGAGGCAAGACTATAGCATCATCTGTCATCTCTTGTGATAAAAGGTGAGCAGGAAGCCATGGCCTAAGTAATGTCTTCGTAGGATCTTTGGGATAGATCTTTTTTGTAGTTTGTCTCCATCTGTTCATCATGATGGGATTCAGCTTTTGCTCTTCTGCTTTTCCTTTCAGAAAGTATTATGAGGGATGCTGAGGACTTCATGCTTTGGAAAGAGACACAGCTCTGGAATTAGAAATTGCCACTTCTGAAAGGATGCTGGGAATCTGCAGAGGGAGACGGAAATTCTTGGCTGCCTCTTTGACTTTGCTCTGCATCCCAGCCATCACCTGGATTTACTTGTTTGCTGGGAGCTTTGAAGGTAAGAACAAAAGCCAAGTGAAGGGGAAAATGGAGGGGGCTGCAAAAGAATACCGGCTGTTATAGAGGCTTAGCAAGAGCCTGGAAGCCCTAGTGTTTCTCGGGTAAAATATTGGATTAATGTTGCTTGTCAGGGGAAATGATGTGTAGCATTCCCACAGGTAGTTGGAGGAGGTCAGCATAGTGAGGCGTGAAAGAACAAACTAAACTAAAACTAAAATATAAGTTTCTGCAGTGGCAGGACGTGGATAGACATGACCAAAGCCTGTTTGGTCACATTGTCCCTGTGTAAACACAGGGGAGAAGGTTGAGCCTTGGTAAATGGCTTGGTTTCCTGAAACCAGATACTTTATTAATTCATCCATCTAGTTATTTGTAGGTTCACTCATTCAACATTTTCTTGCTTGTTGACATCCTCAGTAAACCTAGTGCTGAGAATATGAAGATAACAGATATAGACATACACTGTCTCATGGATACAGACAGGTGTATGTGCTGTGATAGAGAAGGCAGGGTACTGGAGGAGAGGTTTGTGGGAGCTGTCAGACTTGAGGCTGGGGATGAAAGATTATCCTTCACACTGACAAAAAGAACTTGGTGATGAAGCAAAGAAGTTGCCTTCCCTGATCAAATAAAAGCAAATGACCATTGCTGCCTCTTTCCAGAAATGAGCAGGAAAGACAAGCCTTACCATTTTCTAGCCAGCAGTTTTGAATGTGGTGTGATGTCCTGATTGTCAGTGATTATGTCACTGCTTCATGGTGGGAGGCAAGGATGGTGTGGATGTGGAGACTTCCTTTTTTAATTTGTCCCACACTGAAATAAAAAAAAAAACAAAAAACCTTACATGACAGTCTGTCTCAACAAAATCACTACTATGTGTTTGAACATTTCCTTTGTGCATACTTTTATTGACAGCTCAAGGCTACCTTTTAATTAGGCATTTGGCTCCACATTCGGAGCTGGAGTTAGCAAGGCTGAATATAAAGATGACAGAGCTATGCACTTGCTGAACAGAGGTTATTGTTTTTAATTATTTGTGGTTATGTATGTCTGCAAACGAGTATGTGCAGATGTCCAAGTAGGTCATAGGTGCTAGATACCCAGAGTTACAGCCAGTGTGAGTTGCCTAATGTTGGTGTTAGGAACTGAACTTCCGTCTTCTGAAAGAGTATCAATTGCTTTTCACAGCTGAACCATGTTTCCTAGCCTGTAGCAGGAGCCCCGTGTCACACCCCTGTCATTGTCCCCTTCTCCTAGCAACATCCCTAGACTGGTCAGACACTTCATCTAAACAACTTTAATAGATTAAATTGTACTCTGGCAGTGAGGGACTCCTTTCTGCAGAGGGGTCAGAGGGAAAGTGGTGAGTTGATGGTGATCCTGGCGAAGCTAGGAGGAAAGTTTCTCATCTGAGTCAATGTGAGAGGGGCTTTATGAAAGAAGCAGAGGCACCCAGGGCTAGTTCAGTTCCAGATGTGAAAATGTGACTGGGCATGGTGACTATGCCTAAAGCCCCAGTACAGACTGAGGCAGAAGGACTTGAATTTCAGCTTTGCTTAACATGATGATACCTTTACAAAACCAAAACCGACCACAAACCACAGCAAAGCAGAACACAGCTCACCACAGCATACCACATCAAAGCATAGCAAAGCACAGCATAGCAAACTAAATGAGAGAAAAGTAATAATCAAAGGGAAAACAGGCTTTTGGCAATACAGGAAAACTGCTAGAGATATTGGCATAATAATCTAGGAGGAGGAGAGAGTGGGGATGGATATGATCAAGATATATTTTTTTTTTTTTGTGTGTGAAATGTTCAAAAGAATTATCAAAAATATTTTAAAATTAGCATAACAATGTTAAGGCAACAATGATATTGACAATATAAACAACTGTCATTGTTATCATTTCTGTGTGCCAGATATTGTACAGAATCATTTTTTAAAGTGAGTTATCTATAGTACAGTGAATGACCCTGTTGTAAAGATGGGAAGCATACAGTGTAAAAGCTTTGTTGATCTGCCCAAGGCCTCCAAGCCAGTCAGGATGGAGCCCAGCTTAGATTCAAGAGCTTAAGATTTTTTTCTAATACCATACTGTAGACTGAAGTTATGGGGATTTTGGCAAGGAATTTTACTAGATGCCACATGACCTTTATACATTGAAGTTGTATAGAATTAATTTTGTTTCAGTTTTAAAAAATTAATTTATTCTTTGATAGTTTTATGTATGTATATAATTCACCATAGACAGTCATCTCTCTTCCCTCCCTTATCGTCTGCTCATACCCACCAATCCCCATTTCTTCCTATCAAGTCTCTGTGCCACTTTTCTTCCTTTTGTTTTTGTTTTCTCTTGTAATGTACTGAATATAACTAGGGCTATCCTGAATGTGGATGTATCAGTAACAATAATGATTTTTCTCTCCTCTAGTTGCTTTCTTCTGCCATTAGCTGTACTCTATGGTGGCCTCATGAGCCCTTCCCCCATCTATGAATGAATTTACTGATTTGGTCATATGTGGATTCTCTGTAAGCAATTGTAGCTGTTATGAGTTTATGGGTGTCAATGGCCATGTCATGCCCCTAAGACCATTGTTCATGGCCCTTCTTTTTATTCTTCAGCTGTTATGTTCTTTCCAATTCTTCCTCCATGACATTCCCTGAGCAGTGGGGGAGTTGGGGATGATATGTGTGTCCTTTTTAATCCTGACCACTCTATAGTCACTTTTTCTCAGTACCTTTCCCATTCATGAGTCTGGGCCTTAACTGCCATTCAGTTGTGTTCCTGTATCCCTTTCTTATCAAGTTGGTACTGTAGCATGCAAGGTGTAACACTGGGGGAATACTACTATAGAATTTTAATTCATGCTCAGTGGCACAAATTAGTTTAAACTGATTTTGGGGGGGTGTATTAATTAATGAGATCGTTTAGTGCTTGCCAACTTGATGAGATCAAGAGTCATTTAGGGGACAAACCTCTGGACATGTTTGTAAGGAAGTTCCTAGATGGGTTTAATTTAGATGGGAAGACCCACTTTTAATGTGGGTGGTACCATTCCAAGATCTTGGGTCCTGGAATGAATAAAAAGGAGAAAGCAAGCTGAGCACAAGTGTTCATATTTCTCTGCTAGCTGCAGTGCAATGTGACCAGCTGCCTTAATCTCCTGCCACCATGCCTTCCCTGCAATAATGAATCTAAGTGAACTGACCCAAGTTAAGCCCTTCCTTCCTTAGGTTGTTTTGTCAAGTGTTTGGCCACAGCACCCAGAAAAGTAACTAGTACACATGATTAATACAGTAGAGTTACAGACAGTATAGGGTGAAGGCAGGGTTGGGTCAGATTGCTCAGATGATGTTTGTGTTCCTAGGTCTTCCTCCATTCCCTTGGTTGACTTCTCTGCACTGGCTCCTCTCCAGATAGCATTTCCTACATGGAGAACGTTTGAGGCTTCCATCTTATCCTTCTATTCTTCCTCATTCCAGAGCATTGCCTCGGACTGGATTACCTGTGTTTACTTGCCTTAATATCACAACACAAAACATGCTCACTGTAGTCAGAGCTTAGGGGAGAATTTGGCACTTTATAGTTACCCTTGAACTCTGTAATATATTTTTTCTGGTTACAAGCTAGTAAGGAAAATACCCCTTGATGGCAAAGTGGAGATCTAGGTTGTGGGGAGTTTGTAGCTATCTGTTTATGATTTGCTATGAAGCATCAAAGTGTGTGGTCCAGCCACAGCTGATGGAGTGTCTGGAGTCATTGATATAATGATCTTACCAGATTGTTAAGGAAATTATGAGAAATTTAAGAATAAAGGCAATATTTAGAACAGCACAGCCAGATTGGATGTGAGTGTTCTACTTGTTAGCATAGTACTTAAGAATAAACTCGAATCTCTGAGTCACAAACTGCATTTGCTAAGTGCTAGGTGACATGAGCACAGTAGCAAAAATGTCTAGTAGGAATGACAAAGCCTATGGATCTTCACTTTCTAAGCACTAGTTAGCTTGTAGCATTTATTTATAGGCTGTACACTATAAGCATTGTCTATAGACAAGTCAGCATGCTTAGGAAGATATAGGTGAACAACATTGTCAGCTCAAGTTGTTTACATAAGCAGGAAGGAATTGGAATATTTACCCTGGAGACACAGAACTCAACATGCACAGGATCAGCTTCAGGAAACAGTCCATGTCACTGGGGCATGAAATAAGGACAGCTCCTATGGCCCTTGACTTTGACTAGTGATGTGGCCAGAAGTCAGATGTCCAGCCCCTCATAATGAAGATTGCTCTGTGCCTGGCTGAAATGAGCTGTCCAGAGAGGGTGTGTAATGCCCCTAGGAGAAACTTGAAGAAGTTCATTGTCCTGAGATAGTGGTAATCATCTAAGATGACCTGTGTGACCTGACTCTGAGATCTATAGACTCTAGAGGAGACTGAGTGGCCACCAGCAGTCAAAAGTCATCTTTTTGTGATGTACCCTGTCGCTGCAGGCAATGTCCTTAAAGAGGATCTGTATGTATGTTCTTCTCTCAGTTGTTAATCATTACCAGTGCTCCCTATACCCCACTGACTGACACCCTTAAAGCTTTGGCTTTGTAGTAGGTGGTGCCATAAATAACAGAGTGTTGCTGCCGGAATTTATGGAAGTATGATTCATGTTTTCAGTGGGTTTGGTTTTTTCCAACTCTGGTTAATTCCAATGGGTCTCCTGAGAGCAGAGCCCCGATTCTCCTCTGAGCTGCAGATATTCTTGATACTAAAGTTTAGCAGTCTGATTAGTTGATTACCTGGAGTGGCACAATGAGACTAGAACATAGAACGGAATCAGGCATCCCAGGCTGTGAAGTCAGCTTAGCCAGGCATAGCTGGGTACTTGGAGCATAGTCTCTCTCCTCCCTTAGCTTTAGTCTCCTTAACATGAAATAATATTGTTAAAATGAAGCCCACTGTTTTGGCATACTAACATTTCTACATTCACTATAATACA